GTCTACCCAACTTCCTTCACCCTTTCCTCCCACAGGTGTCAGACTCCCACTGTGTTCTGAAGGCTTTCTCTGTCTGATCCTGCTTCCTCTGCCCTTTACCTTTAACACATGCTACCTCAATAATTCCCTTGTACCTCTAACTCCATCCTGGCATGTGGTTCCTGGAGAACTCACCCAAGACCAAATTTTGTTTCCTTAACCCTAAAAATGGAGATACCATATCTGTAACTAGATTTTTAAGGATGAAATAACACCTACACCTGGAGCCCTCAAAATAGGAAACAGTCAAAGGTGAGACGGAACAGGTGAATGGAGAGTGGGGGGCAGAAACACTGTCTTCACTTTCTATAACAATTGTTAAGTTCCTAATCTTACATCCTGCCTCACAGCACATTTTTCTAGAACTGAAGAGAGAAAATAGGATAACTTTCCAAATGTTATATATTCCAAATATAGGGGAGGATAAATGTTCAGCAGGGACCGTCTATAAAACTATTGTGGATGGGATAGAATTTAATTCCCTTTCCACTATAGTAGGATCTTCGAAGAGAATTTTTCCTAGGAAAGGAAACCAGTATTTATGTCCCTTTCAAAATGACATTTTCAATTGGCACCTATGATGCTCTATCCCCAAATACCCTGCCTCATAGTCCTAATAGTTATTTTGATGTTAAAGGAGAACAGAATGACTCAGAGTCTATCTTGAATATTTCAAAACCTTGATATCAAGGAATGGGGAGGGCTCTCAAATATCTCCTGAAACTTATGAGCCCCAGCCTAACATTCCCCCTAAAATAGTGCTAATAGGTGTTAATAGGTGATTTGATGGCAGAAAACCATTGCATAATTGAATAAATATACTCTAATCATTGTGCAGACACTTGGAAGAAATTAAGAAATATACCTCCTTACTAGTACTAAGACCAATGTTACAAAGAAGCAGACAAAGTACAATAGAACAAGAATGCATTCCTTGGGACAGTGAACACCGAAAAATATTATAGCTTTGGTGATTTCTTATATCATAAAGTTGTTTTCAGAATAAAAAAGTAAGAGTAATCGACAGGAAAGTAAAAAGAAGGTTGTCCCGGACGTATTAACAAGCAGCATTTCACTCCCTCAGCATGGTGGCTTCCTCAACGCTCCTCAGAACAAGAGAAGAATCACACAACTTTCATGTGCCTGCGTGTAGCGTCCTGAGCCACACCTACCACGGGCTCCCTCCTCAGTGGCTTTGAGTACCTGGTATGGTCTGAAGAATGTCAGACTAACTTGTCTTAGAACAGAACTGCATATTCGGTAAAGAAACACTGCGTAAGCAGCTCATTTCATCTTAATTAGCTCAAGGTGATTTGTCTGAAGTGCTCTGCTTTCTTATCAACACTATCCTGCCTGCTGTGAGGACAGAGACTTTGAGTCTCTTAACGCAGCGTTGGGAACCAGAATCAGGACCTGCAAATCTTGCATTAGAACTGCCCAAGTTGCTGGAAGAGTGGGTGCCTGGAATGAACTTGCCTTTTCACTGGAATAAGCTATACTGTGCAGCAGGAGAGGGCTAGAAAGTGACCTTTGACATGTGTTCAATGACTGAATATGCACACCTCCTATGTGAGAAGATGCTGGGCCTGAGAATGGCGAACACCAGTGCCTCTGCTCTGATGGAATCTACAGTCTACTCCAGTGGGAGAAAAGGGAAGGAAGGTTGGAAGACTAACATAGAAGTGAAGGTTATATCATTGCTTTAGAAATGTATTCATTACTAGTAAGAAATCTGCCCCCTCGTTTCACTGATTTGTTTGAGACCAATGTTAGTCATCAGGAAATCAGAGTCAGAAAGCTATGGAGGCCTCCTATTGGCATTTGCTATGTTTCCACCTGGCAGCAGACCAGAGTCCTCAGTGGCCTGGAGTGTTCGTGCAACTAGGAAATAGGAGTGGAGATATTCCCGCTGCAATTTCATCAGTGTCCCGTGGAACCTGCAGCTGAGTTGCTACCCCAAGTCTCTGCCAGTCACTTCATTTGCACACTGTTCTCACTCAGCCTCTCACAGGAAAGCATCTCTTTGAAAGTGCTGCAGACATTATGTGTGAAAAAATAAGGGCAATATAAATAGCTTTTCACTTCTAATTGCAACTTGCCACTCACATTTTGCTTCCTGAGAGCTCTAAAAAGGGACCAGCCCAGCAGCCCTGGAACTGTGAGTCAGTGTCTACCACTGAGGGCGAGCCTAGACGGAGAGAGAGCAGTAGGAGACCTAGAAGGCCATTTCAGGCTTGAAGAACACATCTTTGCAGTGTAGAGCTCAGCCAGCCAAACGGGGTGGTTTCCTGGGCTATCTGCTAAGTCAGCTCTTTGATGCATTGCTCACGTCTGCTGGCTCTATGCTGGGCTCTCTGTGCTGTGACAGATTTTGACCTCCAGGTCACCTTCCATCTGGTGAACCTGCATCCAAACCATGACCTCAGACCACAGGCTGGCAGCAAGCAAGCCGGCAGATATTGCATTTGCCAATTGGCATGATCATTGAAATAGAGCAAAATCATCAAGATGTATATGCTCTCTTTCTGGCAGTGGTTAAACAGGGCACTCTCTGGGAAAACTGCTTCACCAAGAGTGACTTGGTTGAACTGTGTGAGATCACAAAAGGACTGTTTAGACTCTGAAGGGTGTGAAAAGCTAATCCATGCAGAGGTGGTAAACTTCCCCTCCTAAATTACAAAAGCACAATGAGTGCATGTAAGTATAGAGGGAGCATCAGCTGTATACAGTGCACTGCAAGGATTCAGCCAATACACTATCTAATCGTAAGCTTCTTTCTCCATGTTTGGCTGAAACTAAAGAAATCAGACCCTGAGTCTGTGTCACCCATATGTCACACACAGCCTGCAGTCCTGCTTTGTGGGAGAGTGTCAGTAGCCATATAGAGTTACACAAACAAGGATAGCATAACAGCCATTCAACAAATGTTTGATGCCTAATACACACTAGATTCTAGGATAAGGGATACAGCAGTGAATGAAACAAAAATCTCTCCACTGTGTGAGTGTGCATTCTAATGAGGTAAAACACACTTAATGTAAAACACAATAAAATACACACTGCTAAATGGTCATAAGCGATTTGGAAAGAAAGCAGCAGGAAAGGGGTAGGGAGTTGATGGACGAGGAGTGTTGACTTCTTCCCCCAGATATCCAGTGACTCCCCCAGCCATCTTGACTCAGATGCCACCTTCCCAGTGAGGCCTTCCTGATGACCCTTTTACAACAGCAGAGTCCAACGCCCTGATTCATGAACGTGCTTATGAGGTCTGCCCTAATCTCCCGCTGCCCTCACCTCCCTCCCTCTACATCAGCCACACTGTCTCCCTTGTTCTCCGTGTGGGGTGGGGGTGGGGGGTGGTGATTAGCCCGTGTGCAAGTTCCTTATGGATGGAGCCCATTACAAAAACCTTCTGGACCCCCTAATAGGAACCTAACACACAGTTCTGTCAGGTGTGTCATGAGGCCATGAAGAGCCCCCTTTCAGTATTCATTGTTTCTGTTGTGGGGTGTTTTTTAAAGTGATTAAAACACGTCAGGAAAAATTGCTTGATTAAAGCAAATCCTAAACATCATATAATTCTATCTGTAAATAATTATTTATGTATTTCTAATAGACAATGTAAGTATTATGATTGTTTTTTTAAAAATTAGCCATAATTCCTTAGTATTATCTGACATTCAGGAGCTCATTGCTGCTGATTATTGATTTTAGGCCATTAAATAGTAGATAAAGAGCAACTGGAAATAAAATAAAATCCCGCTATCTTAAATTTGAGTTGGGAGTACTAGTATCATTTGTGTCTTTTTTTAGGGGAAAAAGGCATGTTCTAAGTTCTTTATTTTTTTACCTGTATGTTTTTTCTCATACTAAAAATCTTAGTTCTTATATGTGTCAGATAAATACTTACATCACTCTTAGTGCTAGTAGCAATGATAAGATATTGTTATTTTTGAAACTATAAATGCAGTTTCCTTTGCTGTTTTTCTCTTTTCTCATTAGGTATATATATTCCAGGAAGGATATACAAACATTGAATAGTTGTTGAATTCAACTGTTGAAAAGTCACTGGGCATAGTTCTTGCGTTGTATGCCCCCAACTTGGTATACAGTTCACTTCATATGTTTCCATTTGTGTCAAAGTTTTAGGAGCTGCTTTATTTTATCTCTTCTATTTAAACTTATTTTTTAATATGAAGCATGTAAATGTTTGATGTGATTCTGCACTTGAAACAATTAAACAAAGTGCATTCAGAAAGTCTAATTTTCATTGCTATGCTCTCCTCCTATGCATAGCTACTTTTATTAGTTTTTGTTGTATCCTGTCAACATTTCTTTTTGAAAATATAAGCAAATGTATGTGTGTACATGTCTTCATATTTGCCCCTCTCTCTTGCTCAAAAAGTGTTATACACTACACGTTGCCCATGTCTTTTATCATCATTATACTATGAGGCCCAATCTCCAGAACATATTACAGAGCTCTTGCTCATTCCTTTTTGATCAGCATGATTACATGGCTGTGTGTTGGTACATAAATATGCACTGGTGTTCCACTGTATGTAGATACTATAAATGAGCAAAGGCAATACTTTTTCGGAGGCCTTCCTGAGCCATGAAATCCAGTCAAATACTTTTCCCATCCTTTCTGCATTTATCACACAACCTGTACATAATCACTGAAATTGATTCAATAATTTTTAAAACCCTGTTTTCAAGATAGGTTTTTCATTTGTCATTAGGCTCCCTGAAGGCAGGTAGTTCATCATATATTGCATCCCTTATGTTATGTTCACTAAGTCTTTCTTGATCTTTGATTTAGCTATTCCCCATCTCCTTTCCCTGACTGTTAGGCAATGAGCATTCTCTGGCAGAGGAAGGAAGGAGAGCAAAGTCACGGAAGCCAGCCTGTGGGAGTGTGTGTGGGCCCAGCGGGTAGCCCTGGCTGCAGGGAGCCTAGGAGCTGCTGTGGAAGAAGGAACTGATGTGCTCCCACTCAGCAAGTAAAGGGAAGGCAGATCTCATCCAATACAGGAGAAGTCCCCCTTGGTGGCCCAACATCACAAGAATGAATGAATATACTGAGATCTGACCCTCTCCAAGATCTAAAAGTGCTGAAAGTAAAAATGAGGACAGAGGTAGAGAGTATCTGATATGAAATTCCAGGACAATAAGGCCGAGAGTTGGGAGCTGTCACGACCCTGTGATGACCCAGACAAACTCCTACCCTGGACTCTGGCTTCTGGGTTTGTTTCCTGCTCTCATCCAGGGCAGTCTGTTCAGCTTCGTGCGGTCTTCTTTTATAAGTCTTTGTTCCCTATTCTTTCTCATCCTCTCCCAGTGGGCATTGGTGTCTTGTTCTTTCTTTAGTTCTTCTCATACGTTTGCTGCCTAAAAAAAGAAGGGAAGGAACTGAAATAACCCAGCAGACAACTGATCTTAACATTTTTTTGCACCATCTTCAGTCCCTGATCTGACCAGACGTCATGCCTCGCCTCTGCTGTATATTTAATCTCTTCCCATAGCTGTCTCCCTAAACTTGGCCACCCTCAGGTTTGTTCATGATGAAGCAATCAAGACAGCAGCAGCTACTGAAGAGACTGGGGTGAGGGATGGTAGAAACAGACCAAAGATAAGCCCCATAGGAACATCACACAACACCTGTAGTGGAAGCGAGATGACCAGCGCAAGCAGCAGCTCTGACTTGAGGCACAGAGACGTCCTGTAACATCGTGCAGCAGGGGAAGTGCAGAAGAGGGCCTGTGATAATCTTTTTCACATCTCACATCTATAATTCTGTAATTTACAACTGCAAACAAGTTTAGACTCCAGGAATTTGGCAGCTACAGATGCTTTCAGTGCCAATAATCTGGCACAAGGAAGGTTAATCTTGCTTGTGAAGTCTGCTCTTGGCTTTGGCTACATGTGCAAGGGCTTGGTGGTAGAGTGAGATTATTAAGAACTGTTTCATGAATCTTTCCGTGTGTTTAATGTAAAAACACTTCCTTCTGAGCCAAAGCTTCTGTGTCTATCAGGTTACCAACCATCTGTATAATTTAAGTGTGAGACGCCTATGCAGATGGTGAGGGCAAAGAATGAATTACTGAGGCAACTCTCGGTTCTGCTGTGTGGGGTTGGGACTCAGAGCTGAACTATTAGAGAACTGGAGGATGAGGGAGGAGGGAATGGTTCTTATTTCAACACTGTCGAGAAAATCTTATAAAGGCAAGGTAAAGCAGATAGTCTTCATAATGTGTGACTGCATAAATTTGCCAGGCTGGGGTAGACACTCGTTTTATTCCTTTCTCTCTCTGTGATTTTCATGCATGTGAAGCATTTATTTTTCCCTTGGCCATCAAACATTTTCAATCTTTCACACACCTCTTTTCCATCAGAGCACAGAAGTGTCTACCTTGCTACAAAATGGCCGAGTGATAGGCATGCTTCTCTATTCTTAGAGGGGGCTGGAGGCTTCAGCGACCTGGTAACTAGGATTTGGTACAAAGGTTTTGTTTAGCTCCCTAAGGGCCAAAATAACTCAGGGAAATACAGACACAGCTCTCACCATCTTTTGAATTTTAAAATCACTAATGTAAAATCTAATTATCTTGTCTCCCCAATGCCCACACTCTTTAGCTTCCATTCACACAACAAGGTCAGAGCTGCCACAGATAGTTACGTATTTGATGGGCTATACAAAATCACCTGATGGGCTGAGTGAGTGGAGACTGAAACCAAGCCCACAGTCTGCTCAGCAAGCCTGGGACCTGCAAGGCTGAGTCATACACACACACACACGCACACACACTTTCCCCTCCAGCCTCCTTCTGCTCATTTTTTGCTGAGTGTCACCTGCTGCCTGCCATGCCCTTCGAGAGAAGGGCTGCATCTGCCCACGGAGGGGATGGGGCCCAGAGGGTGGCTGTTCTCCAGTTCCCACAGTTTCATTCAAGGCCGGCAGCCAACCCTGAGCTTCGTGCTTTAGGAAAAGCACCCCATGGACAATTTTAAACTTGCTAATAAAGAAAGTATGCCAGGCCCGAAGCCCATCTTTACCAACCTGAAGCTGCTACTCTAGTATGGATTGTAAAAAATTCGTGAAATAAGCCCTGTTACACATCAGCAAACCATTCAGACCCTAGAAAAATAGCTATTTGTAAGGAAGCACAGGAAGAATTGTTTTTAGACACTAGATATATTGATTTACAGTATGGAAAGAGGCTTAACATTTTTAAAAAATCTCTTATTTTCACAAGCTTTGCTTACAGCAATTCAACCCTTCCTTAACATTAGCTGAGTAGGCTGAAGGGGAGGAGCTAATTGGCTTAATTTTTCAAACAGAAACAGAGGAGCAGAGGGGTCAGCTCATCTCCTCGGGGCTATGTGGAGAACCGATGGATCTTTTCTGGCTGCAGGTTTGCCTCTGTCCCTTGGCTACTGCTACGGTCAGCTCTGGAAGACAGGAGTGAGCGAGCAGTCCGTGAAGCCCCCTCGGAGGCTGCCCCCTTGGCCGTCTCTTCTGCATTTTGACAGCCCTGCACCAACTCTTCGGCTCCTTTCTGCATCCTGGCAGTATCAACCTCCAGTTTCTTCCTTTGGCTGAGGACCCTCACGTTCTAAGGAAAAGTAGCACTCTCATCAGGCTGGTTGAGACCAGGGTCGCAGAAGCAAGTTTGTCTGCTCAGGACATGCAATGGGAGTGGACTCGGGCCAGGAATGAGTTTTATTCTTGTCAGCCATACTCAGTTAAGCAATGCTTCCAACCCCAGGAGGCATGTTAGGAAACTCTACTCTGCTATCAAAGGTCTATTTGTATGGAGAGGATTTCAGCTACAGTTCAGTACTAAAGAGATGGAAGCCTGAATCAGGAAGTGCAAATGGATCTGGATAACCTAGAAGCCCCAAAGTGTGCTTGGTTTTCAACTTGTTGAGGAACGTTTTCCTGCTTTTTGATGTGGTATAAGCAAGTATCCCAGAGCAGAAGTCAAGGTCAGCAGCAGACATTTGGCGGGTAGGGGTGTTGGGAAATACATCAGTTTCCAGCATGCTGCTCAAGATAAAAAATACAAAGCTCCTCTTTATGTACCTCCCTTCTAGCTGACTTGGCAGTGAGGTGGGGAGAGTAGTTTGAATGAGCCTCATCCCCCAGCACTTAGAAGCCCCCAGCACATCGGAGGATTCTTTGTGTTCGGCGGCTGGTCCCACCTACTTCTTTTCTTCCTGGGTTGTGACACTAGAGGCTGGAGCTCCTGTTGCCACTATTCAGTCCATGTTTGAAGCACAGTTTTTCTGAGGGTGTGAAACCTTAGCGTAGAGAGGGTATATAAAAGGCACAGGCTTCCTATTTTTGATTTCTCCTTATTGTCCTTTCACTTCCCGCTAGCTAGTGCCTCTCTCAGTGGCAGGACTGAGCCTCAGAAATAGAAAGAAAGATATTCCAACCACACAGGTTCTACCCTGCTTCCTGGACGGCATGAAGCATCTTCATCAAGACTACCCTCCTCTGTCCTTACAGAAAGCAGTGTTCTGTTGTGCACCCCCAGGCTTTCCCCTTGGGAGGGTGCATTTGGGAAAGAGGGGATAAGTATGTTCCTGGAATATTTTCTAGATGCTTACTGCCCAGTCTTTCTTTGTAAAGGAAGGTGCAACTATCAATACTGATTTGTTTACACATGGAATCATTTAAAATCTGCTAGGATGATAATGGTTAAAACCTTTTCAAGCTGAATGACTCTTTAATTGGTTCTTTGTGGAGGAAGGGTATTACAGGGTATTGTGCAAAACGGCAATCTAGATTGTCACAGCCTGGGTTTGCAAAATGACACATGTAATCAGCCAAAGGTAAGTTTGACTTTGTATGTTTATTCTAAGGCTAGAGGTCTGGGGATGCAGAAGAGGTAAAGATGGTTCCATAAAAGGTTAGTTATGTTACCAAAAGATCGATAACATTCTAGTAATTTCAAGATGTCTGCATAGTTAGGCTTGGGGAAAGGTCCTTATGAGCAATGTAATATCACCTAGATAATGCCCGTCAAAGGGGAGTCTCTGTCCCAGAAGCAGCACTTGAAAACTCATTTGATTCCTGGGTCCCACTGCAGAGATTCTGACTCAGTAGGTCTGGGATGAGATCTGAGAGTTTGTATTTTTGTGGCAATTTCACTTAATCACCTAAAGTTTCAGGAACTCTGCCGACAGACCAGGCTTCTACTGCCTCATCATCTTTTGCTTTTTCAAACTCATCTCCTCCTTTCTATTCCTGTTTTTGCTCTGGATGATGTCCTCATCTGTCCCTAGGCTAGTTATTTTTCATCATTTTTTTGACCCATTGGTGCATTATCAGTTATAAGGTACATGGCAAAGGGTTTGTTACTAATAGCTATTAAGTACTACAGATAGTTGATGGTTTACTTTTTAAAAATTCAATATTCTACTTTATGAAAGTATAGATAATTCCATATAGTTAAGCAATCATTCCACATAGATGAGCTTTCTTGAGAGAGAAAGAAAATGTTGACATGAATTAGCCTGCTGGGAGTTATGCATAACCTACAGCCTATTTGTTCTATACTACATGGTATCCAAACAGGATTATGTCATGTATACGGACACAACAGTCAAACTGTAGGCACGAATTAGATGCAATGCCTGCAGCTCATACATCTCTGGTTTATACTCCCTCTTACTGTAGTATTTTTCAATGGAGACACAACTGGCATTCTGGGAGGGGCAATTCTTTGTGTTAGGGGATTATCTCTCACCAGCAGGAGTATTAGCATCTCTGGACCCTGCCCACTATATGTCAGTGGCACTTCCCAGCCCCCATGGCAACCAAAATAATCACAGCCCTTTTAAATACCCCAGAGCATGGGAGTTCTGCCCCTTGTTGTTTTAATGCATCCTTCACGGCAATCCTCAGAGCAAACTTCTTAAAATGCAAATCTGATCATTTCACTCTCAGTTACTTAAAATTCTTCACGGGATCCCCACTAGCTGTAAGATAGAATTCAAACTCCATCAGACTCAGACTCAAGGTTTCTGGTGATCTGGCTCTCCCTGCCTCTTAGCATTATTTCTGCTCATCTCTCCTACTCCACACCCCACCATGCTCTAGTGAGTATATCGATTTCCCTAACATCCCAAATTCCCTCTTCCCTCATGCCTCTGGCCCTTGACTTTTCTCTCCCTGGCTGATTTCTTCCATGTCCTTCATGACGCAGCTCCAGCATATTGTGCAGCTGCCTCAGTCTGGGATTGTCAGGAAGGCTGCCTTCAGGGAAGGGCTTGTTCCATCATTGTCCTCACAGCCGTGCACTACGGGCTGCTCACTTAGGTCTTCACTTCTCTATGACAGTGGAGACATTCTGTGTCTATATCATGTACGCATGTCCAGGTTAAAGTGGCTGCCCTAAAAATGATTGTGGAGTGACGTATTTCTTACACACATTTGTCCTAGCCACAGTGGTTTCTCCTGATGCTATGAATGGCAAAGGATTTGAGAATTCTTGCTTCGTATCACCTACATAACCTCCCCTGAGAAGTCAGAATCCTGCAGCTCATCAGATTGTCAGAAGACACTCATAATAGTTAGAAATCTCCTGGCTCTGAGTCAGGAGTACTTTTTAAAATCCTGGGATGTTTCAAGGGAACAGAAGAGGCAGGCAAGTAGTTCTGGAATGCTAGGGGGTGTTTGTCTCTCTCTCCCCAGCACCCTGGCTGTGAATGTCCTGATAGTCAATTCTTCCAGACATAGTGTAATGGGTCAAATTGTGTCCCCTCCAAAAAAGTTTGAATTCCCAATCCCAGTACCTCAGTGATCTTATGCTGAAATAGGGTTATACATACATATGTATATACATATGTATGTGTATGTATATATATATATACTAATATACATAATACAATATATAGTGTAATACATACAGTACATATAATACATACAATAAAATGCACAAATCTTAGTATATATATATAGCTTGATGAATTTTGACATGTAACCATCACCCATATCAAGATATCAAACATTATTTTTTTAAAAAACAGGGTCTTTACAGTCTTTACATAGGTAATCAAGTTAAAATGAGGCCATTAAGGGTGACCCTAATCCAATATGACTGATGTCCTTAATTAATGGAGGAAATCTAGACAGAAACATACTCACAGAAGTCAGATGCTATTAAGACACATAGAGAGAATGTCTTGTGGAGGTGGTGGACTGGAGTGATGCATCCACAAGCTACGAACACCAAAGATTGCCAGAGCAAGCTAGGAAAGACAGGAAGGATTCACCTATGAGCATCAGAGGGACCATGGCCCTGCCAACAATTTGATTTCAGATTTCTAGCCTTCAGAACTAAGAATAAATTTGTTTGACACCACACAATTTGTGGTACTTTGTCACAGAAGCACAAGGGAACTGATACACTAGGGAATGAATGAAACATGTGCCCACTGCTCTGGTGCCACAGGCACTCTCTGTGCCTCAAAGGCTTGATGTGGCAGCTGTGCGATCCGAGGCTGACGCATGTGTGGGCACTGCCGCCTTCACCCAGCTGACACAGCAAATGGGAAGAGTTTATGGGCCCCACCTGGGTATGGGAAAGATGGATTCTCTCCATGGCTTTCAGGAGCTCTTCCTCCATCAGCCCGCACCCCTATTCTGCCTGCTCTTGCAAGGACCTCAGACTGGAGAAGAGAGCTGTGCCACTCAGCCACAGCCACCTGCTCCTTCAGGCACTGTTCATCTGTGTGCTGTCATCTAGCCACCCCTAAAGGTCCTGTGAAAGTACAGATCTGGGGTGCAGACCCCTGAGATCACTGGCACACAGGACATGTGCATAAGCTCCACCAATGTGAAAAGAAGCATGTTCCCCCTCTCTTGAAGGATTAAACTGCTGTCTTCACTTTTATTGCTCAACATAATCTGTCACTTGGTTTGCTTCCATAAGCAGAGGCCCTCCCACCCCAGATTACAACTGGAGAATACCTTGATTTGAATCTGAACATGGCCCAGGAATTTGGTTGCCTCTGACACCTGCCAGGTAGCACAGCTAAGCTGGAGTTCCTTCTCATTGAGGTCCCCTTCCATGTTCTTCTTCACCTGCATCGTCTCAATTCTGCTTCTAGTTTCAGAATCCAGACTAGACTGCAGGGAGTCAATAGCACACGGCTGGTTCCTCCTAATTTTAAAATAACTTTCACGGGAAAAGAATCATGCACCCAAATTAAGAAAGATTACCTGCTGTGTACACAGCACTTTAGGAAACAGAAAAAAATTAAAATTCAAGAAAAACCCTGGGCAATCAACAAAATGAGTTTAAAGAGTTTTCATTTAAAAATCATAAAGATTGAAGGGTTAGGTTAGAGCACATTTGTGTCAATCATAGCAGACTAAGATTCTCAGGCCCATTTCCCAGAAGAATCAAGGAAAGTTCCACAATATTTTTTGAGGTTCTTGTAGGGCAGCCTTAGCATTATCTAAGACCCCATAAAAGACAATCTAGGGCAAACAGTCTAGATTTCCTGGAATGGCTAAGGATGAAGGAACAAGGCTTTTTCAGACAGCCATAATATTCTAACTACTTTCCATGGCGAAACAAGTTTGATTAAAGCAAGAGATACCCAGGTTGGGACAGGTGCTGAGCACCAACAATACTGATCTACAGTTGTTTATAACTGGGCTATAGTTGCTTAACTCTCCTGGAATAACTTGGTTATCTTGCTCTAGGAGTTGGAGGTTAGTACCAAGGACAGGGTGAGAAAACCAACTGCTATGTGATATTGAATTACATCAATATTCCTTCATAGCTCTATGCTGAAACCATATTTGCAGTGACAGAAACTTAGACAGCAGATGTGTGTTCAAGAAGGCAATATAACAAACGGGGAAACCTACGGCAGTCATTTCCCAGCCTTCTCCCTATTCATCTGGGACCTCGTGACTGAATTCTGGCCAATGGGCTGTGGAGCAGAAGGATTTCCAGTCTGCCCCTGCAGCGTTTTTACTTCTGAGATGCTGCGCCCCCTTTCCCCCATCTAATGCAGACTTGGTGGCCACACAGGGAAGATCACGTCCTCACAGGTTGAAAGGAACCCGGGTTCTGGAATGACTTTGAAGAACAGTGGTCCATTCTCCATCCCACCCCCACACTGGACTGACGTTATGCAAACATAAACTTGGATAGTTTTGAGCCACTGAGATTTGGTGGTTGTTAAGTCAGGACAGTTTAACTGCTGTAACTAACGCACGCCCTGTTACGCTTGCTCTATAAAATAGGGCCTAGTGGCTGGACAGACAAGACAGAGGAGAGAAGAACTTTTCTATTCTTCTGCCTCATAGAGTCTGTCATCACAAACAGCAAAAATATATTCCTCTTGGGTCAGCATTAGGTTCCACAGTGAACTGTCATTGAGCCTGTGTTCTGAGCTCAAGGACCCTCAGGAAGGCTACAGCCTGCAGAGGAGGAGGAGTGTGGGTCAGTTTCCAACTGGGTGGCAGGAGTAGAGGGGCCACTTTTTATGGCCATGTTTCTCCCTATCGGTGGGGTGGTCTCAGAAGTAATTAGGGAAATGTAAGGGAAGTAACTCTTTCTGGTTCCAGAACCCAGAATTAGCACCTCTCCTCTGCTAACCCCATATCCCTGGCTCTCATAAGCTGAGGCTAGCTTCTCGTGCCTATCCTGAGGTCCTGGGCTTTTTGTTCAGTTCCCAGATCAGAATCCTATAGGGATGCTAGTATGCAAACTTAATAGAGACTTTTACAGGCTGACTGTGACCCACTCCCCACACCCCCAAATTCATATGCTGAAGCCCTAACCCCAACTATTTCAGAATGTGACTGTATTTGGTTGGAAATAGGGCCTTTTAAAGGAGAAATTAAGGTAAAATGAGGCTGTTAAGGTGGGTCTAACTGGTGTCCTTATAAAAAAAAGGAACTTTAGACTCACAAAGAGACACCAGGAATATATGCCCAGGAGAAAGACCACATGAGGAGACAGCGCAGAGGTGGCCACCTGCAAGCCAAGAAGGGAGGCTCAGAAGTGACCAAACTTCGCCGACACCTTGATCTTGGCCTTCCAGCCTTGAGAATTGTGAGAAAATAAGTTTCTGTTGTTTAACACACTGTTGCAGCAGCCTGAGCAGACTAATGCATGGCGCTCGCACTCGGCAGCACTAGACCCTGGGAGACTATTTTATATTGGGCAGATTCTCCGTTTCACCACAGCTGATTCTTCTTGTACAGAAACACTAAAGCAGCCTAGTTTGGGGTCAAAATCCTCTGTACAGAGATACAGTCTACTAAGCAAACAAACAATGTTTCAAACTGTACTTTTTCCTCAGTCGCTGATGAAACTTCGTGAGTGCCTGTAGACGAGTAGATGGGACTGCGGGTTTGAGAGGCTTGAATATGATACAGACTTCGAAAAAGGCCACTAGACAATCGACACATTTTGTGCAGAGTCAAGACATCTTTAAAATGAAAACTCCCTCAAGTATGTTTTTATGAAAAACGAAACACTCAAAGTCCAGGCCAATATACTAAGAAGTTCCTTTCTTTTCCTGAAATGTGAAATACAGTTTGAGAAAAGAAACTAGATGCAAAACAAAACAGAACAAGTCAGTATAAAAACTTAAAACTTGAAATAACTAATGGCTTTAAATAGATTTTCAATAGGTCATTTTTTCTCTTGCAATATTGCTTATCTATAACAGAGAATGTAAGATTTTTTCTTTATTCTAATACATATGATTCAGCTTTAAAATGATTAAAAGGTATTCTGCTAACTAAATACCATGTCTGTGTTTGAGATTCTATCTCTTAAAGACACACTGAAATTTTTTTTTTAATGAGAAAGGTTAAAACAAATTCTTTTGGGAGCAACTTGGATAACAAAAGAAATTAAGTCACGTGCAAAATTCACATCACTGCATTCAGAGGAGCAGACCACATGGAAGGAAAAGATGATGGGCTATTACCGGACACCTGAGGCTGCAGGCCAGCAATGGGCAAACTATGGGCTGTGGGCCAAATCCAGCCATTCCCATTTTATTTCCTATTGGCTCTGGATGCTTTCAACTTCAAGTTTGAGTAGAGCTAGAGACCCTATTACCTGCAAAGCCAAAAATACTTACTATTCATGGGGTTCAGGACACACTACTCAAAACATAGCACTTGAACATATTAAATATTTTAAGCTCAGTGAGTTTGAGGAAATGATAGAGGCAAGAAATTCACTCTCAGCTCTCCCCACCTCCTTTGTCCTTTGTCCCTAAAAGCAGGAGATAAATCTCTCACGTGAATGGTACCCTCCCTGGGCCAGGAGGAAGGAAGACATCCTCATCACCAGAGACAGGAAAGTTAGGGCGAGAAGCCGGTGCAAACAAACCTTGTTAATTCTTCACCACATATTACTCCTCGCCCAATCCTCTCTGCTCTGTTGATTCTTCACAGACATACTGTTTCTTTGTCTAAAAGATAATAAGAGCTTCCTGCCTTAGACACAACTTCAGTCTTCTCTTATGATGACTCCTGTGAACATGAAAACTTTCAGTAAAATGTGTATGCTTTACTCCTGTTAATCTGTCTGAAGTCAGTTTAATTATTAGGTTCAGCCAGAGACCCTAAGAGGGTAGAGGAGAATTTATCCCCCTCTGCACTATCTGATGCTACACAGAAAAAGTTAGCCCAACCTTTCTATAGACCATCGAACCAAAGTAAATACACATTGACAGTGTAAGGAATTCAGTGCCTCAGTCCCCAAAACTCCTTGCCCAGCACCAAGCTGGTGTGTCTAGGGAGAGGAGCACACAACCTGGCTCTGGGCAAGTGAGAAGACCTCACACATTTCAGCATTTCCTTGAAGACTCTGAGTCAGGGAAGGGATGTAGTCAGTGGTCCTGAAGGTTCAGGATATCTAACCAACTGGTCAACCCAATTTTGGTTTGGCAGTAGACCTTGACTTACATGACAATTAACAGCTACCAGTTGGCCATCCAGCTTCCTGCTGATGCCGTTCCTCCTTTCGTGGTCTAGGACAGAGAGGATCAAAGCCAGCAGACCACACTGGCTCCCCTCCTTGTGATGCCATGGTTCCTGTTCATGGAGTCGAGGGATGACCTTCGTGAATGAGCAAGGTAAGAGACTTACAGAGAAAGTTTTATTCAGGATAAGAGAAAGTATGGGACTCCCCACAGGTGCAGAGAGGGGCAAGGCTGCACCTGGGGTCTCTGTGTCTAGGGTTTTATGCCTGTTGCAGTGGAAGCTGTTAGTTTTCTATAGGTTCAGCCAGAATGCTAGTTGTATTTTAACCTACCTCAGTAAAGGTTACCGGGTTACCCTATTGTAAACTAATGTGCCTGCGTGTCTATGGTCAGCAAGTTGTTCCACATCACTGGGTCCTGGTGGGGGTGGGAGGCACATTGGTACAGTGTTTCAACCTCAAGCACCCTGTTATTCCTCTACATTCCCGAAGCCTCAGTAAAACTTTGTCCTTTTCCAGGGCCCACACTATACTCTAATGGGGCAAGAGTTATCCCTGCTGCTTCCCAACCTCATGTCCATCAGCAATTGCACTGTCACCTCCCTACCTCTAGCTATGCTAATGACAACAATTGCAAAAATAACTTTTTTCTGATGATAGCCATATCGACCCATAAAAGATTAGGAAACCCTGACTAGAAAAGCAGGTACAGTATCTGGCCAATATTAAGTTGCTCAAATATCTGTTGAACAAGTAGTGAAGCATATGACATACATAACAGCTGCTCATACTTTTCGCCACCCACAAGCCCCTGGCTCACTCAGGATCAGTCCTGAGCCAGCTTGGCAGCAGAGAACAAGTTGAGTGAATTTCCCAGTGTGCAGCATCATCAAAGTTTTGCCTATGCCTCTGAGTCTCTTTCCTGTTTTCATGGTCTCTTTGATTTCCTGGGTCCTGTCTCATAGTCCTCCTTCAGTTTCTGTGGAGTTTCCCAAGGTTTAAGTGGATATAGGACGTTGAACCTCATCTTGCCTTCAGGGAGCATTTCCTTTGTGCTCTGGAATTTACCTGGCTGTACAGATTGCCAGGAACCTTATGCTTCACTAGTATAGTTGGCTTTGAACAATGCAGGAGTCACATGTTCCAATCCCTGTGAATTTGAAAGTCTATATATAACTTTGGTGCCCCAAACCTTAACT